CCCCCTACCTCCCCCTTTTTTTTCGCAAGGATTGGGTTTTGGGAGCCCCCTTTCCCCCCCCCCCCCCCCCGGCAGGGACTTCCGAGCGAGAAAATGAAAAAAAAAAAAACGCCCCACACCTCTCAATTCATTCAGCGCAGCGCACGCGGCACAACAACCACCGACCGACTCTTTTGGTACTTGTATTTTCTGGCTGCTGCTCCTACTTCTCGACTTGTGTCCGTCCAGTTGGTTCCGTTGCCACACGCCGAAGGAGACGGGGTGGGGCCTTTCGTTTTCGCCGCGTTTTTTTTTTGTCGCCCATATAATTCGTTGGTCCTGGTCGGTTTCTTTTGCTTGTTTTTTCACTACAGAAAAGCGCCCGCAGTTAAGAAACGTCAAAATCGGGTCGAGCCTCAATCCCTTATTTTGGGTCGAAGGACCAGCCCAAGTCGTCCGCTTTCTTTAAAGGCATTTCTTATTCCTTTGACGGCTGTGTCGCATCCATGCTCGCTCCCGATTTCTTAGTTCCTCAGAAGAAGTACCTACTACTGTACGTCGTATTTTCACATTTATTTCTGTCTTTTGATCTCTGAGGACAATCCACTTCATCAAGCCCTCAAGAGAGGCGGTGTAGGGTGCCATCAAACCCGTACTACAGCGGAGAGTACGTTGTTGTTCGCGATGTGTGGCAGTACTACAGTACAGTACAGCACAGTGAACAGCAGGGGCGGGGGGGGGGCGCGAAAATAACCACTCCTCCTGCTGTCCCCTACAAAAAAAATAAATAATGCACTTCTGTTCAGCTAGGTAAAAGGGGGTGGGAGCACCGAAGATTTCTGATGCCATGGGGTTGTCGCACCATCATGTTTCTTGTTGGGGCGTTTCTTATGTAGTGGCCGCGATTGAGCTATGTTTCTTGGCCCTTTTTTCTTATTTTTCGTGAAGACTTGAGCCTTTTTTTCTTGACGGAATTTTTCCTACATAACTGCGGGCGCTATCTGTATGGTACAACGAATCCACTCTCTATCCATAGATAAAAAAGAGTCCCCAGGATAGGTTCATAGCGTTGTTGTTGTATGACGAACACAGCCTGTGTTTATTGCACGGTTCCCCGAACATGCACCAATAGTGATTCTCTTTTTTTTCTATGTGTGTGATTCTCGTTGCTTCCTCTTCGTGGAACCTACCTACGTACGTACCTGTGTTCGCGCTCCCCAGGTGTCTCGCGTCCAGTACGGCTCCGCGGGCCACGACGAGATGCCCCGAGGCCTCCTGCTGGAGAACTTTCTCATGCACAGTCACCCCGGCCCACAGTTCGGCAACGGCCTCGCAAAGGTGAGTGATTTGGCCGCCGTACAGCTATATAGGTTTCTATACGAGGATTGATTTTTCTCTTGGCTGTTTTGCGTGGGGGGATTCGTCGCTTGGGTGCGAAGTTGAGCGACCAACTTAGACGGATGCTCTTGCCAAATCTTTTCTTTGCTCCTCGTTATTGTGAACTGTGGTTCTTCGTTCTACAACGTAGGCTGGGTCACAATGAAACATCATCCCGTTGCCGCGATGAAAGTTGTTGGTTGTTCGTCTCCGTTCCGATCCCAGCCGGCGAGATAAGTCTGCGAAATACTCATACCCGTGACGCGGCACCCACTGCGTTTTTCTTTCCCCCACCGGCCGGGATCTTGTTTTTTTTTTTTTTTTTTGTGAAGGTGATGGTAAACTTGGACCCGTCCGAGCCGGAGGTAGGGGTAGTCGAGCCCCCGCTGCGGAGCATGCACAACGCCGAGGGTTGCGACTGCGCAGGCTCCAAGTTCGGCGGCGTCTCCGACCTGCGCATCAACCACTACCTGGGGAGCATCGGGGACTACATGGACAGGACCACGAGATACTGGGAGGTATGATCCGTTGCAGGCGCTGGCCAGCGGCAGCACACACCGAGTGGTTTCACGGTTTTCGCTCCCAACCTCTGCATGCATCAACGACACCGTTTTTTTTTTCTTCTTGGCCATGGTTGTGGGGAAGGGTAGGGATTGCTGCCCGGCTGGGCTTTCGGGCGGGGATTCCGGGGGGTTTCCAGTAGCGGCTCGGGCGTGGCCGCCGGTATACGCGAGGGCCGGGGTGTGATCCTCACGTATACCTGCATCTGCCAAATGATAGACAAGAGAAAATAAAAATGGACACAACTCTCACCACACAGCCAAACGCCCTCGGCCTGCTGTCCGCCAAGGTGTGCTTACGTGCCTACCTACCTTCCTGCCAGCCTTCACGCCGGTCCGCCTGCCCCCGCTACCCCCCCTCCCCCCCCCCCCCCTTCCGTTGAACGGCTTGCTATCATATGTTGCTTCGTGTTTTCCTTTCAGGGCCTACCTTGACTGCCTTCAAGCCTGTCCGCCTACATGCCTCCCACCGTTGAACCACCGGTTTTGTTTTGTTTTGTTTTTGTGTTTTTTGTTATCAGGCGAAGAAGAAGGGCGAGATGGCCGCGGCGAAGACGGTGCTGCGCCGAGATATCAACAACTACCGGTCGGACGACATCGAGCACTGGGCGTGCGCCACGAGAGAGGTCCTCTTCCGAATCGTGGAGGGCCTCGACCTTGAAGGAGGCGGAGAAAGAGGAGGGGGAGGAGGAAAAGGAGAAGGAGAAGGAGAAGGAGAAGAAGGAGGGGTTAAGGCCGTCTCGAAACTCGAGCCTTGATTGGAAGGTTTCTGGAGAACGTGCTGACTCTCTCGCCCTATGGGCGTGTTTTGCAGACGGAAAAACAGTGTAGATATGTGCCACGCGATATTTGTTGCGTTGGCGTCCCGCATGTTGTTGATGTCGTTTTCGTCGTTGTGGTGGATGTTGTGGTCTGTTTTTGCGTTTTGTGACCGGGGCGCCATGTGTTTATCGTGTCTATGTGTTCGTGTTCGTGACTGAAAATCTTGTCTTTCGTCTTTAAAAACAAAACAACTGAGTTGCAATCTTTGACGTAAGAGCTGTTTGCTGTTGCTGTGTGTCTCGTGAGGAAAAAACATCGAACAAACTATGGTGCGGTAACTACTGCTGTTGCGGCCGGCATTGCACCCGGGGGCTTGCAAAGAAACTAACAACACCGGAGGCATGTGTAGACCCGGGGTGCCGCAACATCTTCCTGCGGGGGGGGGGGGTATATGAGCCACACCAACGGCGCTTACCCTACCAGAGCAGCCATGTTGATTGGCTCGTGACGGAAGATGTGTTCCTTTGTTGACTCCTCTAGCCGTTTGCAGGGCCTCGCCGTCAGAACTACATGCAGACCACAGGGGAGTACCCCCAAATCGTAGTAGACGCATGATGTCAACAACGGGCGAATCAGAAAACTGCGGGCACCTATCTTTTTCTCTAACCCGTAAAACATCGGCCTCCATACCAAGCACGACGGCGAGAAAACGCTGCTGAGCGTTTTTTTTTTTTTTTTTCTCTGCTGGCAAACCTCTGGCACCCGAACCATTTCCCCGATGTGGGCGTCGTTGTTGTAGACGATACTTCTTTTCGTTCGGTGTGACTCTCTCGTCACGAATTGCTGTATCTCTTCGGGGCGGCAAGACTAAACTATTTACTAAACCAAGCCAAGGTTGACCGGGACAACCCAACCAAGTGCCCACCACCATACAAACAACGAAGACGAACGCGACCCCCGTACCTGCATCATTCCGCAACAGAACCGAAACGAAGGCGGCAGAGGGGGGGGGGCTGCCGGACGGGATTCCAACAAAATGATGCTCTTCCTTGTCGACAACAATAGCGAAACATTTTTTTTCTGTCGTACACACACACCGCCTCACAAAGCAACCAAACGACAGAGATAAAAAAAATTGCGCTACGCATACAACAACAGTACAATTTTGCATCCCGTCTTTTGTGAGCAAAAAAAACTCCACACCATGTACCACACGCGTGCGCGCGCTAATGTTTCGCTCCTCACACCGTGTATCTTACGCTTGTACCTGTGTAATGTTACGCTCCGCGCTGGCAACCTTCGTACCGTCATTTCCCACTCCCCAATCTCGCTACACGCAACAAGGACGTAATCGTACCCGCACATGTAACTTACAACGCAATGCGTGCCGAGGCCTCCACAAAATGTATGTACAAGAGGGGACGGAAGCGCCCGCGGGGGGACAACAGAAGAAGAAAGAGCACGGGGGGGGGGGGGGGGCAAAAGGGAAAACCAAAAAAAAAGGGTATCTAAGGGCCCCAACCCCCCCCAAAAAAGGCGGGTTTGGAAAAAAAAAAAAACCCCAGGGCCGGGTCAAATTCAAAACCCCGGGCCATCCCAACAAAAACAGGGAAAGGCCCTTCTACTTTAAACCCCCCCGGGAAAACCAACTCC